ATAACTGTTAACTGTATAGCATTGATGCCTAACCAATAGTTCATAAGTTGTAATAGCCAGACGAGTTTGTGAAAGGAATTTTAGAAATAGTGTTTCTCAACAGGATGCGAGACATAGAACACCAAGTAGAACTCAATAGCTTCTTTTAAACATTTAACATGAGCCTAACAACACAAAAGGAGGGAGGGTGGAGTTACTGACCAGCAAACATTGATGGTATGGGCGATAACTTCAAACAACCCATGTTTGTGGGGCAGAACATTTTGTTTGCTTTCGGCTCTTTAGATTGATGAGACGACTAATCAGTAACACTGAGGTTGCTCTTATACGCTTGCTACTTCTGTGGTTCATGTTTCCAAAACTATGCTGAGGTCGCTATTCTGTCGAGACACCTGCAACATTCTTACTCAGGCGCTAACAGTATGACTTAGAGGTTGGCATTCAATAATAAAGAAAAAAAACAGTTAGACAGTGCGAGATTTTATTCATTAAATTTTTATTTTTACAAACTCTACTCTTTTAACTAGAATTTCCATTTCAACGTACATAAATCCAGCTTCTTACTTCGACTTCTCTTCTATCCACCTGACACTGCACAACTCTCCCTTCTTTTTGCTGTACTCCTTTATCTGTGCGTTATATTCTTATATTCCCATAATTTACTTTAATTTAAGTGGTCAGTATGAATTTTATCTTGACTTACTACTGTATTGACTACTTCAACATGACAGGTTAAGTAGTGCTTTGGTTATATATATACACTTGCCACACTGCTGCCTTTTTCTCTCTCTCTTCTCCTTTTCAGGACCCCATTCACGGTGGGAAATCCTTGGCTACTCTAGGGAACATGCACCCAATGTACATGACTGTCTGGATCACAGCTCGTATCAAGCGCGTTCCATATGACCTTTCCCAACAAATTCACTATTGATCTCGGCCAATCGCCAATAGAACCTATTGTGCACCTTCCTCATTTGTACTCTAATATTGAAAATGTGGCTGTATAATACTGTTTCTGTCAGTGATATGGTGTAAATATGTAATCAGAAACTGTCTCTTATACCTAATTTAACTGCTATAACTTTTACCGTAATTGTAAAAGCATTTGTGACAATTTGATCTAGCCTGTAAACTGGCGTGACTCTTGTAACTTAGTTATTTGAGAATAAATTATTATTATTATTATTAGTTGTTAAGGTTTCGGGAATTGACTTCATTGACCCAGTCCTATCTTGGCTTAGAAATTACCTTGGGAATGGGAAGTTTCGTACCAAGGTAAATAGAGTGCACGCAGGTTGGCGAGTATTCACATTAGGAGTTTAACAGAAAACCATCTTAGGTCCACTTCTCTTTCTGATATTCATTAACCACCTGTTAGACACAGTTAGCTCACCGTCATTGATCTATGCAGATGATGAAAAGATCTAGGGGTCCATTAGAAGCGAAGAAGACTCGACTGAGCTTCAGAAGGACCTTACATCTTTTAAGGAAAGAAAAACGGTCTAAAACCCAACCAGCCGAAGTGTCACATTATATACATTCTGTCCCACATGACAAACGATTTATACCCTCAATAGAATTCCTCTCCTTAATGTCTCCTTAGAGCGCGGTCTCGGTTTTATAACCTCTGAAAGTCTCCACATCAGTCTGAAGTATATAGGGGATGCAGCCAAGGCAAATGAGAATCTTCACTTTATGCGAAGACAACTTGGTGCTATGCCTCCTGAATTATTCCTTATGTTGTTCCAGACGTATGAGCGCCCACACAAGAAGGGTGACAACGTCGCAGCACCCCGACTCTTTAAGAGGACTTAAATCTCTTGAATTGAGTCCGGAGATGACCGACTAAATGTGTAATATGGTTGAAAATAAAACTTACTAAGATAGATTCTAGCAATTACGATCATTATTTCTGAGTTACAAGAGAAACCATCCCTACGGATGTATATTATCAAAACATCGCCACCACGCCCCCTCGAGGTAATCCTCGAAAATTGCGAACTCTCAAGTTGGAGCATCCTTTTTCTGATTAAGAGTCGTTGCAACTTGCAATGCTGTCCCAGCCTGAGTGATCACAGCCCCTTAGTGGATAGGTTTAAGAATAGCCTTGATGAACACGTGCTTACATGCGAATTATTATCTCCCTCGTGGACCAGCTGTGTCTGATGTGCATCTTGAGATTTGCTAGTTGTTGTTATTGCCATTTCCTCAAGTCACTGACCTAAACTATCTGGCTAATTATCTCTGTTTTCGCTTCTTTGCTTACATTTCTATTCATTCGTAAAATCTTCACTACCAATTCATAAACTAAGTTATTCATTTATTTACTTGGTTCTGAAATATTATTCTTATTAGCATTAGACTTTTCTTATTATTATTCTTCACGTTGCAACTGACGTATCCCCAGCCTAGTAACGCGATAGGTGCTGGTATCCAGAAACCCCTGTTACTCTGGAACAAACATTCCTTCAAATCACAAGGCATACAATCTTACAAGCAACTTCCAAATGACTAGAATTAGGTTAATTGAATGGCAAGATCCTTATACATTGGACACTACTAAACACGAATCGAGCTCAAAGAAATCAACTGGTTTATGCTAGTTCGTGAAAAAGATGTTAGATACTGGAAGGCTCCACCTTGAGTTTAGTCTAAAAAACCTTATTGTTAGTTACTCACCATCGGACGAATAGCAAAACAAAGTCTGATTGTAATTGAAATCCAATAGCGAAATTTATACAAGGACGACTGCAGAAATCAGTACATCTGCTGGACCAGGATCATAGTACCAGCTTAACCATTTTATACGCTAGAATGAAAACTCGTCAGTTAATAGAAGAACGTAACAGCACTGCCACATGCACGTGTCCATGGCATGCAATCCTTTTAAATGTGTTGTTTGCTTTTGACTTTGACAAGGATCCGTGACCAGGACCCAGTGACATTTCGCTGCTCCTACTCCTGTTTAAGTGAGGGCTCAGTAGAAACCAAAATACAAGACAGGGAAAAAGAATAGATATATAAAAATATTATCTGACAAATATATTGGAGGGATTTATAGAGTAGTCCGTTTCTTACTACTTACCTGCCAAAGGCATCCATTTAGTCTAATGAACCAATATATTATGAAATTCCAAGAGGAGATGATACCTGTCTGTTAATTTAAATGATCATGCACCTAGTTTACCCACTTATTAACGTAGCACGATTGTTGTTTTCTAGTCTCAATTGGGGTTGTGCCATCTTATGAACTGGTGTTCTTTTATCCCAGCGGTTCGCTCTTATAGTTAATGTACGCTGGTATCACTCCCGCCATTATGTGATGACGTTTACGTCAACTCATGCATTCATTAACTGTGCCTCAAGAGGGGTGGAACAGTAAAGTGCTCATCCACAAATTCATCTTATGGTTCCTCTGTCTAGAATCAGCTTGTTGTGGAATTTCTTATCAGAAGTGACAGTTTGGAAAGCACAACTCAGAGGCCATAGCATGAGGATGTTAAGCCATTACAAAAATGTAATATCAACCTTTTGCGAGTCTGAGTTTGGCTTAGGGAGTGTGAGGAGCAGTATGTAAGAAGAAAGAACAAGCGTAAAAGTAAGTCAACGACTCAGTTAGCACATGGAATGCACTTCAACCGAACTCATCAAAACAGTTCTGTCGGTCAATTCACGTACCGTAGATATAAAAGGGTGATACCTCAAGGGTTATTGTTTGATCATTTTTGTCATTATAAGAGGATGCTTCCATCCTTTACGTTGTAAAATAATGAAAGAGCAAGTAATCGTCCCCCTGAAAACGGTCGTTCTCCAACTTCTCAATACTCATTTTCATTATTTCCTCCCGGCAAAGTCTAAAGTGTAGATATACTTCTTTTCCGAGAAAATTTGAAACTTGCTTATATGATTTTGAGATGAGGAACACATGAATTCTAATAGAATTTTTTTTCCTATGATGCTGTTTAGTAGAACAACGAGAGCCACACAACCAAACCATCCAGTTCAGAGAAAGAAAGGCCAAGATGAGCGTGCTCACTTCCCAGAGACGGGTGAAAGGTAGATAATGGGCTAGAACTGAATTTGAATTATTAACCTCCGTTTTCAATGGAATCCCACTTCTAGACATTTCCTCATAACATAGTCTTAGGTTAGTAACCACAGGAAGTATGGGCATCAACTCAAATTACATAAAGGATGTAGCTGAGGTAAACGCAACTCTCTACCTTATGTAATGACAACTTGGTGCGATTTCCCTAAATCTCCTCTAATCCTTGCCGTGTCCCTTCTTTTCAAAAGTTACACAAATCTCTTAGATCTACAATAGAGACTAGGAACTGACGGGATGATAAATTCTAAAAAGCAGATTACATAATTAGGGATTATTTTCATCGGGCTAGCTGAGAATAAGAGGTGATCCGATGGTAAACACATTGAGCACACTGAGTCTTCTAAAGGAGTTGCTGGTATCCAGAAATTCTACTACCTTGAGACAAAGGAGCTAATTCGAAATAGGTAGCATAATAATCTACAACTAACTATCAACATGACTAGAAATAGTGCAGTTTAGAGGTGATTCCAGTCTATACTGTACGACAAAAAATACCTTGAACGGTACCGAATCAAAAAAGAAATCAATTAGTATGTATAAGCTCGTGTCCAAATATTGGATATTGGATTGTGCGTACTATGAATGAAGGACGCGGGAAGGTTTATGGTCTGAGTTTTCCAACTAGAAAGCCTAAGAATGAACAGAAGCTATCAATAAGTTCCGTTTTCGATGAGGAGTCCGATAAAGAGGAAGAACATAAGGAATTTGTAAGGATTTCATATTTTATTAATAAGTGTTTCAGAAGCCACGTGATCCCTCTCGAACCACATGCATAGCTCAAAGTAGGATTGATCGAAAGGTATGGATAGTTCTCTCCTCTATAACAATCTTCAACAGGTAAAAACGGAGTTAGAAAAGGCTTTTGAGGAGGACCCTTCTGTTTTCCAGTACGATGAACTTTTGGATACTATTCACGAACAAAAAGCAGAGGATATTTCTAAAAGTACCGTTAAAACAGTGGGTCTTTTGAATTCTAATTTTTCCAGTTCAAGTATATTAACAAACTTGTGAAAGCATCTAATGAGCGCAAGCTTGAAAGGGAACTATGCGCTGAACGAAAGGCTCAGAAGAGTATTGAAGCGGAAGCTGATTTATATCACAATAAAGAGTCATTCGTTACGTCAGCGTACAAAAGTAAACTGAATGAGCTTCAAGCACTCGTCGAAAAACGTAAGAAGGAAGAAGAACGAGAAGAGGTTATGGATATTTGCAAACAAGATGGTTTAGGGGGATTTTACCGGTTTATGTTTGATAATCAAGATAAAACATGTGCAGGATATACGGTGAGATTCTATGCTATCGGTTATCATATTTCGTAGTTTTACTTTTCTCAAATTCATACTAACCTAAATTCTGGATACTTGCTAGTCATTGCAGTCATTCTTATCTGCACTGTGTTAGTCACCTGAGTTTTCGTTGATATTTGGAAATTAAGTAAGCAGTGCGAGTAGGTACACTTCCTTTATAAAAAACAGCAACCACTAAAGACAGTTCTAAATTATTTTGACAATGAGGATCCTCATTTTAATTATATCTGATTATGGTATTTCCTTCAGGAAAAGGAAAAAAAAATACCCAAAAACACTACTCCTTATCCCTTGCTCACAGTGTTGGTAGCCTATCTCATTATGATTAACCTGAGTTCCTTTTTCAGTTGCAGTTTTCGGATATCATGTTAGCGATGACTGTTTCCTTTTCGAACGAGTATCTAACTAAATTTAGGTTCAAGGTTAGCTGTTGACCTATTGAAAAGTATCTGTTTGAGTTCGTATAACGGCAAATTGCTTGTAACTTGACAAAGCGTCCAGTGTATAGTCACTGTTTCAGCTGTAAGATACGTGAATTTACAGTAAATTTTGAGTTTGATGATACACATTAGCAATTATATCATAAGATTTTATAAAGCTTCTGTCTGAAGCTCATTGGCGAGTGGGTAGCAGTAACTGCGTCTGGTAGTTAGTGGGGCTGTCTCAGTTCGTTCGAGCCACTATGATCAGGACTTTGGGTGCAGTAGAGTGATCTGTGTCATTGATCACACACCGACAAGTAAACTTCATGATTGTCTTGAGCACTGTGCAGAGCGCTTCAAGTATTTGCATGTTAGTCATGTTGGTAGATGTAGAATACCTGGTTGGGGTCCGCGAGACGAAAGTCACCAATGGTTAGAGACCTTGAACGACATGGCTCAGAATCGTTTGCAGTGGCGCAAGTGCATCCATTCGTTGTGCTCTCTGAAATCCTAATCTTCTGGATTCGTCAGCACCTCTACCTTTGTCTTTTTAACCTTATCTCACTGAATTATACTTGAATAATATCTTCGAACCCTAGTCTTCTTTATTAACATTAATACCTCTACTATCTTTATCACTATGGGATTTGATTTGACATCTGCGTCTCTGTGATAATGTGGTATGGCAGCAGGAACTTATGTACATATGTACGAAGTTCTATGTTGCAACTGACTGACTGAGTTCATCCTAATTGCTTAGTTTAGGTCGTAACGATCATGGGACGCGTTCTTTTCACATCAATTAGGAGCCAGTTTGATCAACTTTGACAAAAAGAAATCTTTCTTGGTTTTATTTTCAAATGAGCTGTGCCTCCAATTATCTACTGTTCATGTTGCTGTAGTGTTAACCCTGTATTTGACATTTGACAAAGGAAATCTCTTAAAATTGGGCAGGTTTTAGTTTCAATTTTGGGTGCACTTTTCGTACACTTCATTGGGTTATGTACCATAAACATATTCAGAAATTTTAACATAAATTTAGATTGATCCACTTACTCGGTTCGCTTGTCTGTCTAATTTTGTTTCAAGGACAAATTTATTTACTATTTATGCCAACACTCAGGCTAGCATCTCACAAGTACCATTGTTGTGCAGGTCCGTAAAACCATCGAAAATCAAGAAAACGAATAGTACAATGTCTATCATACACTAGAAGGTTAACATCATTTGATCATATGATTTGATACTGAGATTTATGTATGTGGCTTTGAATCATATGTCTTATTTAACAAGTGGTTATATATTAACTGCTATTCGAAACCACATTGCATCTCTGTGCTAATGTGGTATGGCAACTTGGACTGATGTACGTACGCACCAAGTTCTACGGTGCTGTGGATCAATTGATTGGTCGATTGACTGAATAGAATATGGTTTCAAATCGCAATGGAATAGTTGAAATTCGAGTGCATTTTTAACCATCGAAATACCAATTTATATGGTGAGGGAAATGTAAACACAATATAACTTTACAGTACGGTCATCAGTGCTGATGGCCTGGTGACTGACGAAATCTCAGCACGCATACAGAAAGCTCGATTAGCTTTTGCCAACCTGCGTCACTTATGGCGTAGGCGAGATATCCGTTTGCTGACTAAAGGACGAGTGTACTGCGCAGTAGTTCGCTCCGTCTTACTTTATGGCTGTGAAACATGGCCAGTGAGAGTAGAAGATATTCATCGGTTATTGGTTTTCGATCATAGATGTCTTCGAAGCATTGCTCGTGTATCCTGGGACACCCGAGTGAGCAACGCTGTTATTAGGAAACGGGTGCTAGGTAAGAATGGCAGATCAATAGATGAAGTGGTGAAACTTCATCAGTTGAGGTGGTTGGGATATGTGTTGCGTATGCCTAACCACCGACTGCCGCGACGAGCTCTGTTTTGTGGTGTAAGAATAGGTTGGAAGAAAGTTAGGGGCGGCCAAACCAAAACATGGCAGAAATCCATGAAGTCATTGACTAGTGGACTGAGCCATGTCGGTAGGTGTCGACTACCTGGTTGGGGTCCGCGAGATGATAGTAATCGATGGTTAGATACCCTGAATGACATGGCTCAACACCGTTTGCGATGGCGCCGGTGCATTTATTCTTTGTGTTCTCTCAAATCCTAATCTTCTGGATTCTTCAACCTGCTCTAGTTTTGACTTTCTAAACTTTTCTCACTGAATCATACTTCTTGAATAATATCTTCTAATCCTAACCTCTATGATTACTTCCAATACCTTTACTACCTCTTCTACTATTGGATTTGAATTGACAATTATATCTCTGTGCTAATAATGTGGTATGGTAACATGAACTGATGTACTTACGTACGAAGTTCTACGTTGCATCTGACTGACTGACTGACTTACAGTACGGTCTCTTATGCGTATGTGAGAATGTCATTATTACTGTCAGTCAAAAAAACTACCGCTGAATGATGCAGCAGGCTTCACACATGTACTATACTGACTTAGTATACTACTAACAATAGTGTGAATTTGTTCGTTTCATAGATTCTTTTTTAGTTGCTAATACAAATGTAAATTACGAAGCAACAAAATAATATAGAGAAATTTTTTTTTAAAAAAATATCGTCCATAAAATGGATTCAATGCAGATATTGTTTAACATACATTCGGAAAAATAATTCATTTCCATACATATCTCTATCTTTCGGTTTAGAATTTTTATGTGACTCAGTGTCAGTTTTCAACAAAAGCTTTTGTAAATACGAATTAAACTATGCATCATTGTTTTAATTAATATTACTGTTTAAAGATTGTAACTTACTTACTTACTTACTTACTTACTTACTTACTTACTTACTTACTTACTTACTTACTTACTCCTGTTACCCTTAATGGAGTATGGGCCGCCCACCAGCATTTTCCTAGTTAGCGTTTTTTTAGCCAGTTGGTTTTTTTACGGGATAGAGTCTCTAACCCCAAGCCCAACCCTCCTCCTCTACCCGGCAGTAGCCCCGAAGGTTCTACTGGCGGAGTTTTATGTATATATATATATATATATATATATATATGTATATATATGCATATAGTATTTCAACTCGTTTTTTAAACTTTTAACAGGGTTTTTTAAAATAACCAAAAAAATTTTTAAAATTTTCACAGCGTTTTATAAAATTTTTTGTAATCCTTAGAATGTCAGAAATAAATAGAAAAAACAACTTGATTTCGAATGAAAAAAGAAAAAGCCTTATATAAAAAAAGTTATTGAAGATGGATACAGCGTCAAGGATGCGGCATTTCTTACAGATGTAAACTATATATCAGGCCGCTACAAATATTATAAGGTTGTATATATAAAAAGGAATCGCGAGTTGAGAAGAAAAAAAAACAGGAAAACCATCAAATAAGAAGATATGCGGTGATATTATCAATTTTGTTGAAGAATTGATAGAATTAAACCCGTTAATAACGATGGTAGAAATTCGAGAAAAAATAGAAAACATATTTTCTATAGGCCTTTCTCTTGAATCTATATATAAGAAGGATAATTTATAGACTTCAGATTACTTTGAAAAAGATTTCTTATATACATCGGTCAATATAAATTCGGAATCCAGTAGAAACAAACAAAGTTCTCTTTGCTAAAACATTTGTTGATTCGGTGAATTCAGATAAGTTCATTCAGTTTTTTGATCAACTAATTGAAAAATGCAATCAAAAATCAATTTTTAAGAATTGTATTTTTATACTTGATAATGCGAGGATTCATCACTCAATTATCACAAAAAGCCTTTTTTGATGAAAAGGGAGTAAACGTTATGTTTTTGTCTCCCTATAGTTACATGCTTAACCCAATCGAATTCGCGTTTTCGAAAATTAGAAATCCATTGTAAGAAGATCTCTGGCGAGCGGATCCAACGAATCTTTTATATATAAATCTAATACTAAATTCTGTAAATCAATTAACCAGGGATGATTTACAAGGTTATTCAAGACACACACGTACGTCGCAATTGTTTAAAAGCGATTGCTAAAGAAGATTTTAATTAAAAGTAGTTCTTATTTTATTTTTTCAAAAAAATTTTAAAAAACGCTGTGAAAATTTTAAAAAGTTTTTTGGTTATTTTAAAAACCCTGTTAAAAGTTTAAAAAACGAGTTGAAATACTATATATATATATATAGTACCATAGGTATTTAGATAAATCCAGAATAATTAACGCTTAAATTATTATTATTATTATTATGTTTCCATAAGGAATCTGAATCTCACACGAGTACAAACAACGGAGAAAACTGTTCAAAAGCTGACATGAATGTTGCATCAAAAGTCAAACCATCAACTATTAAAGAAAATTCAATGAAAAAGGACCAAAATATTAAAGAACGATGTGATGATGACGATGATCATCATAATCATAATAAAGGCGACGATGACAAAAAGGTGTCGTTACCTCCACCTAGTCGTAATGACGCAACGGAAAATGATCGTAAAGATGACGATAAAACAAGGTATGAGATTATATACATGCATATGATCTCTTGTTTATTAATATATAACTGTATATTGTTTTTCTAAGTTGTATTCTGATATGATAATCAAAAATATTGTACTTTTATTTTTCTGAAGCTCAAAATATCGATTTCGTTGGTTTAAACAGTGAAGTATAAGTTGAATAATATCTTCTAATCCTAACCTTTACGATTACTTCCAATACCTTTACTACCTCTTCTACTATTGGATTTGAATTGACAATTACATCTCTGTGCTGATGTGGTATGGCGACATGAACTGATGTACTTACGTACGAAGTTCTACGTTGCATCTGACTCTGATTCACTCCCTATCAGACTCTAACAAAGGCCAATCCCCAATCGTCGTGGTACAGTTGAGAGTGGGGAGAGAACGCTCTCTCTTGAGAGAGAGATGCCATACGTACATAGCTACTGTTGGGGGAGTCATACTCATTGGCAGAGGTTTTGTATAGGAAATTGAGAAGGCAAGATACAGGTGTCCGACACTTCAACTGGGCTAGTTTGAACGGATGATCCATCTAGGGGAGTTGGAAAACTCTGATTCCAAACCAATCATACACACACATAGCCTCCAGTATCCTAGTGGAACAAATGGCGTGCGAACCTATTGTTGGTTACCGGTTATCATGCGATTGCAACTCCAGAGGTTACTCTAATCCCTTATGTGCTAGACCTCTTGATCAAGGGTTCGTGGAGTGCCCCCCCCTAAGAAAACCACCTGTTTTGGTTTAAACACCCGGACAGTAGCATAGCCCATTTACAAACTAATTAATTTATGTGGTGCATAATTATTTGACTGCCCCTTTTTGTACCAATGTTTATGTGTTCAAATAAAACTCAAAAAAATTTCAGAGGGAGAGAATCGCATCCCCCAAAACATTGTTGTTTTTACAGTGATTAGAAGATTCTATACTTTGTCAACGTATTTCACCAAAAAAACCCCCAGCTTATTGTAATTTTTTTGCAAAATTAACCAGTCCATCACAGTATACATCTGTCAGTTGACATCTAAACTGAATTTCTATTTGTTGTAAATATTGATTTAATTGTTATATGTCGTCGTATGAATCTTATTTATTACCTACAACTAATTAGAACCATTAAAAACCTTACATTGAATTTCCTCATTTCTACAGAACACATCATCATCATCATCAATCAAAGAAAGACATGAATACTCCTACTAATACAGGGCAACGAAAAGTACCTGGAGTAGTATTAGCTCGTCCACGAGTTACTACCGATGAAGAATTGGCTGCTGCTCGTCAACGTTATCTAGACAGAAAAGCTGCTGGAATACATGCTGTTATAGTTGAATCTGACTAGTTAATTGTCAGTTCACATTGAATGTCCTCTTCAGTTTTCTGTATATAAATTCACTTTTTTTTTCTGTAGGAAATAAATTTCAATCTGGAGAGAGAGAGAGAGAGACAGGAAAATCTGGTTTTTACAAATAAATTTCCGTGTAAAGTCTATATTGTATAAAATATGTTGTAAATACTTTGTAACTGGTTATTTCTCAAATATGATGTAATATGTTTATGTATTTATACGACAGTAAGGATACTTTTACACTACAATCTTATCTATGTGCTTTTTTTTTCTGTATTTTCTTTGTGTACAAATCGCTTTCGACTTGTAAATTACATCAGAAAAAAAAAAGATTTCTATATCCATCATTCATTTGTGTTTAATAAATCGATAAAATTAAAATCAAATTTTCATTGTAAAGTTATGAGGATTGTTGAATTTCAATGAACCTGAAAGCACACTGGACGGTCGTTTTGTCTTAGTATAAATGTGCACTACTGATGAGTCCCATGCTAGGACGAAACGGTCATCCATTGCTTCTAGATTTCTAATGGTGACCTAACAATAATCGATTCATGATTTCACAAGTGCATAATGAAAAATCATAAAGATGTGCTCACTTGCTTCTTAGGGGAAATTTTCGGAGATCTAATGAGAAAGCATGACCAGTGGAGTTCAACCGTATGGGATATAGGCAGTTACCCGACGAAGACAATGGATACTGTTGCGCAATATCTTGGATTGATTGATGTTAGGCAATACCACACTGTTGGATGCCGGCTCAGCGGTCTTAAGGCTAAGCGTTCGTGTGTCAAACCGATGGTCTTGCGTTCGACTTTCTCAAGTGAGGATCGTGGATACTCACTGCTGTAGAGTCCCATACTAGGGCGAAACAACCGTCCAGTGCTTCCAGGTTTCTAATGGTGGTGTAACAATGATCGATTGATGATTTCAATAAAATCAAATTACCAGACGTAATTATTATTATGAGCTACATTCAAGAAAATATTGAGTCTTCATGTAGGACCTCCTTCTAGAATTAGCATTGTTACTGTGAATAGTGATTCTAGTCTACAAGTTAGAATTATTTTAAATGAGATATAGTTCATTACTTGGCATAGTTTAAGTATTTCAGCCCAAAATTTCTTGTTCGTGATACAGATAGCTAACTATTCTATAGTTTACACCACGGATAGATCGTACTTAGGCATCTATCGAGAACCAAAATGTCTTGGACACTGACCTCGTCTTCATTTGGAACTCTATAATGTGCACCTATGACCCTACCGGAGGTTGCGCCCAACTAGCCGCAATCAATGAAGTCCAATCATGAAGAATATGATGTAATTGCTTGCCAATGACATTAGAAGATGTTTAGTGGCATAAGATTTGACCGCAATTAAGACGAACGACTAAATATACAAGGGAACTAAGTCTTCCGTATATTGGACTTAGGCTAACCCCGTTTGTGTGACGATGGTAATAAGAATCAAATACAGATTCAGTTGAATGAGTTTATTTTAATTAATTGTTTACGAAAATAAGAAGCAGGAATACAAAGCGAATCGGAGAAAGGTAGATAATTCATAATATGACAGAGAAAGGCTTCGCGTAGAATTACAAGCTCATGACCATAAGATGTATGTTTGGTTAAAGCCAAACGGAGTTAGTATCAAAATCGACTCAATGGTTACATGCTACTTGAGTACCCGACCGTAGCTGCTACCTTGACGTGGTGGTCGGGCTTGCCTATCGTGATGACCCAACCGAGCTATACTGGCTGGAACATATGTTTCTGCAGGTCCTACCATGCCAGGCTGGTCGATTGGAGAACGATGAGACTGAAAGCAGCTACTCAAGCTCTGAGGGCGAAGTCGTACTGCTGACTGTGATGGAGGGGTGTGACAGCAGTAAGGTGTTTCCCTTGGACAACCAGCATCTGTAGCGATGCTGCCTTCTCACAAGGAAGGAAGGGTTAGAAAAGGTCGGCCCTAAAAATGTCACACCTCCCGTAACTCACGGATTTCCGTCTCCTTGGGTAAGGGTTCCCACTAAGGGCCTTTAAGAACGGAGCTAATCCTCAAAAAACATTTCATAAAAAGGCCGTGCGTGACCGGCCTCAAGCAGTTGTCCCTTGGATCATACAAGTTCATTGTCGTACTAAACACTAAAGATGTTTCATTATTATTAAGAGCTGATTGATATTAGAGTTGTAAACAATTGAATATCAACTCTGGTTTGACAATTAGGTGTTCACGGTAAAATCTAATAGCTACATGTTATAGATGCACACTCTCAATGAATCTCATATTAGAGTTAACCAGCTTATCCAATACCTCCTGTAATCACCATAAACTCTTCATGTATGTTAGTATATTATTGACTTTTTGTTCTCATTATAACTTGGTTTGTTTGTTCATAGTGTACTATGTGCACAAATATGTCGAGACTACAGGGTTTGTCCCAGCCTTTGGACAATTTAATCAATCCATTCTTCTTGAGTTATCATTACTCACACGTCTTTCGACCTTGCGAACTATCCGATTTTATTTTGGCTGTTTTTATTCGAGCTCGGATACAAAAAACTCGATTGGCTTTTTCCAACCTGCTTCACCTATGGCGCAGGCAAGATATCCGTTTGCTAACCAAAGGACGAGTGTACTGTACAGCAGTTCTCTCCGTCCTACTGTACAGATGCGAGACTTGGCCGTTAAGAGTAGAGGACTTTCGCAGGTTACTAGTCTTCGATCACCTATGTCTCCGAAGCATTGCTCGTGTATCATGGGACAACCGTATGAGCAATGCTGTCGTTAGGAAACGAGTTCTAGTTAGGGATGACAAATCAATAGATGAAGTAGTGAAACTTCATCAGTTGAGGTGGTTGGGACGTGTGCTACGTATGGCGCTAACCACCGACTGCCTCGACGAGCTATGTTTTGCAGTGTAGGAGTAGATTGGAAGAAAGTTAGGTGCAGCCAGACCAAAACATGGCAGAAGTCCATGAATTCACTGACAAGTGGACTAAGTCATGTTGGTAGATGCAGAATCCCTGGTTGAGGTCCGCGAGACGAAAGTCACTGATGGTTAGAGACCTTGAACGACATGGCTAAGAATCGTTTACAGTGGCGCCGGTGCATCCATTCTTTGTGTTCTCTCTAATTCTAACCTTCTGAGAATTCCTCATAATCTCTCTCTTTCTGCTTCTATATTTATCTCACTGAATTATACTTTTTGAATCATATCTTCGCTCCCTAATCTCCATTACTGCTAATACTTCTACTATCGCTATCACTCTTCGATTTGAATTGAAAATAGCGTCCGTGTGCTGATCCACATCAGCATGGTAACTTGAACTGATTTACTTACGTACGAAGTTCTACATTGTAACTGAATGACTGACAGAGAGCTGTTTATAATTACCGGTATCTTTCGAATGATATCTTTTATAGTTCTCCTGTAGTGCCTCCACATAAACTTGAGTTCGCTCATATTTAATTGCTGAGCTCTTAAGAACACGCAGTAAACCGACACACCACACTCCAAGTTTCAACTTCATACATTAGAATGCATACATATTACATTTAAATATCTTTGTATATATACGGAAATCCTAGTCAATACACAAATTCATCGATATTTTTGACACAAAAATGTTTAGATTCCGATTTGTACCAGTTATTATATGTTTAAATAAATAAAGTGAGGGCTTGCCTTGTGATGTTGTTGAGTGCTTTCTGCAATGTATGTCCTATCCACTTACAGCGCTTCTTTCTGATTTCTTCTTCCGTTGGAATCTCATTTGCGCCCACACAGTAGGTTTTTGCTTATATTACCTGGCCGACGGATCCGAATTATTTTGCGCAGACAACTGTTAATAAACACTTGTATCTCATGGATGATAGCTTTCGTGGTTCTCCAAGTTTTTGCCCCATACAATATAACTGTCTTAACATATGTTTTGAAAATTGTGACTTTGATGTTGGTTAATAATTGTTTTGAGTTCTAGATGTTCTTCATTTGTAGAAACGCAGCCCTTACTTTCCCTCTCCGTGCCTTTACATCTTCATCAGATCCACCTCACTTGTCACTAATGTTGTCCACAGTGGAATTCAGCACACGCGTTTCATTTTACTTCAGATTCGTCATCTAGATGTCATTACATCTAGGAATCAATGTTCACTTCGAAACTTGAACCTGTTACTGTATGCTTCAAAAGTCACTGCGTTATCTCCTTCAATTAATGACCTTCGACAACCACTCATTTGTGCAACAGGTATGAGATGTAATCCATTTTGAAATTGGATTGAATTATTATATCAAAATATCAACAGACGCCTCATTCAAACCATTTCAATTTGGATAACTTCATGTTGCGTTCACACAATTTGATTGTATATTTGTAGAGGTTAAGCGTTTGCACGTGAGACCGAAGTTAGGAGTTGTGGATGTGCACTGCTGATCAGACAGACCTAAAAACTAAGACGATACATCTATCCAGTACTTCCACATTTATCACACCACATGGAACCCGTTTGAATCTACTGGCTGCCTCCCCAATTCCCACAGAAAACTAACCAATAAAATATATAAACATAACGTCTACACAATTTCATTTTTATATTCATACTTTAAACACTAATCAAGATACATCATTCAATAAAGTTTCTTTCAATAAAAAGTATTGATTTACTCCCACATGCAGTGTTGTATTTTTACTCATAACAAACTAATTATTAATCTTTCAAAGAAAATTGTTTATAATTGAATCCATGTTTGAACTGTTTCAAATTTTGTTTAAATTGTTGCAATGTGTTTTGGTGGGATTTTTAAAAAAAAAACAATTATACACGCACGCACGCACGCACAGATTTATAAATTGCTTTACTAATTACTGGACAGATACATTAATATGGTTAATTTCTAGGTTTATTTAATTGGAAAATGTTGGGTTTCGTTATTTTAAATTTTAATTTTGTACAATTAAAATGTAATTTATAAGTTAGTTTTTTTTCTAAACGGTAGAAATAATTTCTCATCAAAAAAAATAAAAAATTACAAAGAAATATTCACTACGTATAATTTTTTTTTTGGTTCTCGTGTTTCTCCCCTTTTATTTTTCTTTTGAAATTTTCTATTGTATATAGGAATTAAATGTTTCAATAGTTATTGTTTAAAGTTTTTGTGTAAAATACTACTGACTACATATTTAGTAATCGATAAATATATTTAAATGCATAATTATTGGTAGAATAGGATACTAAGATATTTACACACACA